TAGAATTCTCGGCTTTATAGTACCCTCTCCCCACAACAGGCACCAATGCACAAGGAATTGGTCATTGCTGAGCCCGCAGCATTAACTTCTTTTCAAAGTCCCAAATTCCTGCAGTCATACTGTAGGCTTCTGCAGGATGGAGACAGAACTGTGCTGCTGCCACCCCCTCCTACACATGGAAGGCCACCACTGCCTGTGGTCCCTCATTTGGCAAGTTGTGAAGGGGGGTTGAGTCCAGGTAGTTAGAGCCTATGAGTCCTGGTGGCACCATGGTTTAGCGTTCAGTGCTAACCAGAGGGTCGGAGTTTCGAAGCCACTCTGCAGGAGAAAGACCCAGCAGTGTGTTTCTGTGATGGTTTACAGCATGGGAAACCCTTTGGGGGTTACTGGTCTCTTAGGGTCACTGTGAGTTGGATCCCACTGGACAGTAATAATGGGTACCTGGCTACCATGTTTAAAAAGGAGCCCTGGTGGCTCAGTGGGTAAGTGCTCGGCTGCTAACTGTATTGATTGGTGGTTCGAACTTACCCAGTGGATTCTTGGAAGAAAGAACTGGCCATCCAGTCCCATGAGGACGACAGCTGGAGACCCTGCAGGTAGCTTTCCTCGGTCATACTATGTGTCTGTGAATTGAGAGTTGACTCAGTGGTACTTAGCAAAATAGCCACTCCTGAACAGCTGTTTATAGTAAAAGAGCAGACCACGTTGGCTAGGACAGAGCTTTCCCTTCAGGCTTCTGGTTGGGGAGCTAAGATGATCTGAAATTACTCTGCTGTGAGAGAGGCTGGGGGGCAATAGGCCAAATGGGGAATAAGCCGGAAGGCAGTGTAGGTGGGGCTGGTATTCCCAGAAAAGAAAAGGCATTTGCTGCTGCCAGACACCATCCATATTACTGACAGAGATAAAAGGAAGGACAGACAGCTGCGGTCTTTCCACACTCTGAACCGGCCACTGCGGCAGATGGTCATCTTCAGGTGTCCTTGACTTTGGGTGACAACCAGGCAGCAGTGGCTGAGGTGGGGAGAAGACCCTGTTAGTTTTAGACGTGGTCAGTCTTCCCATCGGAGTATCACAGCTTCACGTCAACTTCTGAGTCCTTCTTGGCCTTCTTCTTTTCTTTCAAAAGACTTTCTCCACCGGAGGCGGCTAAGACCCCCACACCCATGTTTGCACAAATGTTTTGTTCTCCGGTGGAGCAAACCTAGCCTAGTAGGAGGGAGGATGGGGGGGCAACAGCCTGCACCTACTCAGTGCCCACCAGAAACATTTTGTTTGTTTGTTTGCTCTGTGCCCACAACCCTGTAAGGTAGATGGGCTCTTGCTAGGTGATTCAACTGAGGCTGAGAGGGGATAGTTTGGCGTCAAAGCAGGCCTCTCTGGTTAGAGCCAGTTCTTGCCTGAAGGTTTGTGCTGATGCCTTTCCTGACTAACCAGAGGGAACCTCTGAGTGCAACTCATACTCACCTCTTATCCAGTGAGCGTCTCTCATTACAGGCCTCCATGCTCAGAGCCAATTGCTTTTCTGACTGGAAAACATTGGGATCATCCTTCCTGAGGCAAAGACCTCGGGACCGAGAGAGTTCTGTGGGTTTGGGGCACTTTCTCTGGCACACTTCATCCTTTGCTCTGCACTCCAAATTACTCTAGACCTTAGTGTGCAAGGCTCCTAGGTTCTTAGATGCCACTTTTCTTGCTGAGACGCCTTGAGGAGAAAGAGAATTTGGCAGGCCTAATTTTGACAAGAGGGTACATTTCTGTTTCTCTAGGGGGGCGGAAATCAGGAGTCAGCACGATCAGTTTTACTCAATTCAAAGAAAAGAAAAGGAAAAGGAAAAGTGCGGCTCTAACTTCCGTGAATGGGTCTTGCAAACAATGGATGCTTGATATTACCTACCAGACATGTTCTTGAAAAGAAGACAAGTAAAATGACATATTTTAAGGGCTCTTTTATATTAAAGAGGTTTCCCAATTTTTAAAAATGCCTCCAGACTTGTTCAATGACTGCCTAATGTACTTTTTAAAAAGCAAGTGTCATTTTAAAAAATTAATCTTTTGAAAAGTGGGTCTCACAGTAAAAAATATTAAAGCATGACAAATCTGTGACCTTTGTGTGCGAATTTGGCATTTCGCTTTAGGCTTTATAAGGTTCGTGTGGTAAAGTCAATATGACGAGGCCCCAGAGAGCCATTTGGGGAAATGAGGAAAGGTTGCTAGGTGCCAGAACGATTTAACAGAGAGGAGGTCTTTGGAGGGTGGCTTCATGTCAAATACACTAAATGGCAAAGTATTCTAATCCCTGCTTTCTCTGCTAACCTAAGACAAAACAGGGGCTAGACTTGAAAATAACAGCGGGGAATTGGCCTATCTTTAAGATAGAACTTTCGATGTATATAAGGATTGTGATAAGCGTTGTACGAGCCCCCAATAAAATGATTGAAAAAAAGAAAGATAGAACTTTCACCTGTGTGTGGCGTTGTCCCAGAGGTCCCTGGGTGGCGTAAACATTGACCGTGCTCGACTGCTAACCAACATGTTAGAGGCGTGAGCACCCAGCAGTGCCTCGGAAGAAAGGCCTGCTGATCTCGCTCTGAAGCCCAGTGCATAACTTACCATGCCACCGGGCTCCTACCTGCCACTATAGGTCCTTCTTAAGCCAGTTTCTTATATAATCACAGTTCTATGCTCAAAACCCAAAGAAAATGCACAACAATATGTTAGCATCATACTGTATCCATTCTCTATTTCAATTTTCCTAATTAATCTCAATATGTCTTTCAAAGGTATTTTTTTAAAGTCAGGATTTAACCAAGGGACACATTGCTTTGTGTGTGTGTGTGTGTCTGTGTGTGTGTGTGTGTTTAGCAATTCCTTAATTTTTTTACTCTAGTATAGCCTACTCACCTGTCTCACCCTTGAATTTTTGTTTCATGATAATTGACTTTTGGAAGGATATGACCAGCTTTCTAATAACTCTTTGTTGATGTCTTCCTTGGCAGGTTTCCTGGTTAATTAAACACTTTTAAAAAGTTATTGTTTTTTTAAAAAATAATAAAATTTTAATATGGAATATATTAAAATCGCTACCAGACTCTGAGAAAACTACTGCCAATTTTGGTGAACTTCACATCCTTTTACATTTGCTTTTGCGTGTGTATTTGTTTATTTTGGAAAGTGGGACCATCAAGGCATACGGATTGTTTTGCGGTTTACTCTATAATTCGGTGAACTATGTACTGTAGCTGGCATCTCATAGAGTGAGAAGTAGGGAGTGCTATTGCTCATGGCTGAGATAAATTTGCACCAAGCTAGCCACATTCTTTCAGAGGTGTTTAAACTGAGACACACCCCAAATGTAAAGTACCTGGCCCTGGCATTAAAAATGTGACTGGTGTCCACAGAGAAAACGTTTGTTTATTTTCCTCTGTTTGGGGTTCTCCAGCTCACGTAGGAATTGAGTCTTGGCATCTTCTGTCCTGTGCTTCAACAAGTTTGGCCTCTGTCTTTGAATTCTGGCTCTGTTGTTTTGGGGGTAGGCCCCCCCTGTAGTCTTTCCTGCAGATCCCAAGAAGTCAGGTTGGCCAACTTTGGAAGAAAACCCGAGACACTGCCAACTTAAAGTGATCTAGACATGTTAATATATTTTCCCAAGCCGAAGTCTCTTGCCTATGTATTTTAAACCACCATAAAACATCTACCTGTCATGCTAAGGAATGTGCTGGCTGTGTGGGAGTCTCGGGGGAGTGTTTTGCTGTGTTCTAGGGTTGTGCCCTGACAGCCTCTGTGAGGCTGGGTCCTGGCAGAGGGTGACTTAGCCTTATTGAAGCCTTTTGTTGATGAATTCAAGAATGCATGCAAGTAAGTCGTTACTCATAGTTGCTCGTCCGAGTGCCTCGGGGCTCAGGGGTGTTTCTTTGTCAGCTGGTGGAGGAAGGGGAAGGGTGTGAAGCTGAGCTGGGTCTGGAGCTAACAAAGTAGTCACACGAGCGAGAGATGGGCCGTGAGGTTTCGTGAGAACAGAGAACAGGAGAGCTGTCAGTTGGAGGATGCCCTTCAGGAGCCTCCCCAGAGGAGCACTGGGCTCAGGGAGGAGCCGGGAAGCTCGGCTCCTGTCCGTGTGTTTTATTGCTAGTGCTCTGCATGGCGGTAATGCCATTGCTTCCTGTGGTCGGGCATTCTGCTAGCACTAAGTCTTGTTCGTAGCGAGGCACATTAGCTGTAATTTGGGCACAGGACTGTGCACAGAGCATTTTGTAAAGGAACAAAATGATAATAAGGTGGCTAAATATTGGCCTGAAAACAAACAAAACCAACTGAAAATGATAACAGGGAGTGGTTTTAAGTGTGTTCACTCTTTCGTATGTTTTTAAAAGGTTATGTGGAAAGTAGCTATTTAATGTTACCTCTGCCATTTTATGTCGCCCATGTTCGTGTTAATCTAACGATATTAAAAAATGTTTACCTCAAAGTAAATAATTCAACATGTAAAAATTATAGAGGGACCAGCGGGAGAAAGAAAGATAAGACTTTCTCCTTCCTTGAAGAGTTACAGTCTCGGAAACCCACAGGGGCAGTTCTACCCTGTCCTATAGGGTCTTCTGAGAGTCAGCATCAACTCCATGGAAGTGAGTGAGTGAGAGGGAGAGACAGAGACTATCTCCAAGGAGTGAGGAGGGACAAGGTGACAGTTGAAGTTCAGGTCCAGGGACCACTTAAATCGTGGAGTCTTACCCTTGTGCAAAATGCACAAAGGTCTTGGATAGACAGGGTGCCATTTACTCTGTGCTCCCTTGCTGACTGTTCTCTCTCACCCAGCCTGTTTCCTCAGTCGTAAAGTGGGTTCTGGATATCACTTGTGTAAGATAGTAAAGACCATGGCCTTGCCCAGACACCCAGGAGCTGGGGCTAGCTGCGTGTGTGTGGAGTTTGGCGCTGCCCTATCCACAGCTTCCCTTGCAGCGAATGACCTTGTCGTTTATTGTCCGCTTGCCACTCTATTCCAGAGTCCCACCCTGGGAATGGACACCGTCTTCCACCTCTGGAGGAACATCATCAGTAGTGGACTCACCGCACCACGAAGCTGCTAAGGACGTCTCCTGGACGCACTAGGCAAGCGGGGAAGGCGGCATCCGAGGGCCGCAGAGCCATGCCTTTCGGTCTGAAGCTCCGCCGGACGCGGCGCTACAACGTGCTCAGCAAGAACTGCTTTGTCACCCGAATCCGCCTGTTGGACAGCAATGTGATCGAGTGCACGCTGTCAGTGGAAAGCACCGGCCAGGAGTGCCTGGAGGCTGTGGCTCAGAGGCTGGAGCTGCGGGAGGTAAGTGTGTGTGTGTGTGTGTGTGTGTGTGTGTTTGCGTGCACAGGCACACACACATGGAGTTGTATGAAGGAGAACCAGCCATCTGTCTCTTGGCACTCACCAAGTTTTTCTGTCCAAGAAGTGCTTGTACAAAAGACCAGTTATTCTTAGCAAGGGCTTGCTCCTGGATGGGGAGACCTGCCCTGGAGCTGGGAGAAATAAGACCGCCACCTGGAGCTTGCGTTGGGCGGTGGTTTCCTGTCTCTTTCTGCAGCGGGAAGGGCTGGGGGAGCTGGAAATGAGAGGTGCTCCCCACCAAAGAAATTTGCTCTGTTTAAAACAATCTCCAGTAGCTTGCGATTTGTCATCTGGCTGCCTATCGGGAAAACTCCCACGAAGCAGCTGCTTTGTTTGTTTGTTTCTATATTTTCTCCTTCAAAAGGAAAACCAGAAAGAAAGAAAGATGGGGTGGGGGTGGGGGTGGGGGTGGGGCGGGCCCACATTTGAAGTGAGTGTGCTCAGGGAGGCTCCTTGTAGTTGCCTGTGAGAAGACAGATTTTTTTGTTCCTTTTCAGATTCCTTGAGGTTCTTGCTTTCCTTCTACTGACCCCCAAGACTTCTCTTGAGTCTTGAGGTAAACAGAGGGTTGACTGGTTCAGACTGTCATGGGGTCCCTCTATAAAAAGCTGGTCAGGCAGGATGTCCTTTATAACAGGCTAGCCTGTATAATGTTCCCGTCTTTCAGACACGCAGGAGCATGGGCTCTGGTGAGGAAGCCTCACTCCAAGTTGCTTGCAGCTTGAGAGCCCTGTACCGTGTGGGCCAGTGGGAGAAGGTGACGGTTGCATGCTCGTAGGTTCTGAGCGGTCTGCAAGCTCCTCTGAGATGCAAGACATTCTGAGAGCAAGAGCTGTTGGGTCCTTATCTTAGGCCCTGGGTTCTCGGAGGGAGAAGGAACAGCAGTGCCTGGTACCTCGGGACAGGGAAGAGTGGGGGTGCCCTGTTGTAAGTCATCATATTGAGTCTCTTCCCACATTCCTCATCCTACAGCCTCCTCTCCTTAAATGAGGGAGTTATATTAAGGCTGGCTAGCCTCTAGGAGAGGGTTTTACCTGGAGTAGTTCTTGCTCCTGCTTCCCACCGTGTTTCTACTCTGGTGTCAATGATAAGCGTCTTCCCTGGACGTTTATTTTCCTATATGAGATTGTCCTGCCCAACGATGCATCGCCGAGAGCTGATGCAATTGCATCAGCATGAACAGTGTTCTCACCTCGCTGTCTGGCAGCAGCTTCTCTTTGCTTCGTAAGGAGCATAGTACCCAGTTACCATCTAATAGCTCCTGACTCATGCAGGTCCCCTGTGTCTAGGGTAGAACTGCGGGCCAAAGGGTTTTAAATGGACTTTTCACTCCCCCCACCCCCCGCTTCAGGAATCAGATCACCAGGCCTTTCTTTGGAGGCACCCATGGGTAGACTTGATTCTCACCCTCCTCAGCCCCCACCCACCCCTTCTAGTTTACAGCTGAGAACATAAACCATTTGCCCCCCGCCAGGCACAGGCACATGTGTGTAATATATAGATGGGTTGAAGGGAAGATGAAGGATGTGGGTTGATTGGGCAGAAGACCACTCTAAATTATTCTCAAATTTTAAATTGTAGATAGATTTTTATTTTTTTGTAGATTTTTAAATGTAGTGACTTTTTCCTTTCCTAGTTATTTTTATGGCCTTATAAAAAACATTTAATCTATAATTCCATATGTGAGGAATGCTCTTTAAACTCATGCAGCCATGCAGTGATGCTGAATGCAGGAAGATCACAGGCCAGTTGGTAGAAAGTCTTGTGGATCCAGTGGTGATGGAAGCATCTCAGCTCTGGTGTGAGTCTCCACGTGGTTCCTCCAGTTCCAGGGGTCTGGGTGCATCGGTGTAGCTCATGTGGCTTGTCAGCAGGAAGAAGAAGCAGAGAAAGAGAGAGAATCTGGCCTCCAGTGAGCTATTTATTTCCATGGCACCTCCAAATGAAGTTATTAAACTGCAACCTGATTGACAGGTTAGACTCTACCCCTTTGCAAGTTGACAGGAGATTATGTAAGTGCCATGTTTATTATGTAAGATTATGGTTGAGCATTACAGTTAGGCCTTGGGAACAGATAGGTGAATGTGATAGTCTCTACTGTCAATAGCGCTGGAGTTTAGGGTACTACCAACAAGAAACAGAGCAAAGGGAGTGGCCCCCAGCTGAAACTCAGAAACAGGAAGGAGCATGGGGCTTCTCAGGAAGGGCAAAATTCAGTTTGCACTGGTCTGTTTGTGTGTGATGGAACCTTGGTGGCATAGTGGTTTATACATGGGCCTGTAAACTGCAAGGTCAGCAGTTCAAAACCATCAGCCACTCTACTGGAGAAAGACCAGGCTTTCTACTAATGTAAAGTATTATTGTCTTGTAAACCCATAGAGGCCATTCAGTCTTGTCTAGTGTGGTCACTGTAAGTCAGCATTGACTCAAAGGCAGTGAGTCTGGTTTGGTTTGGTTTTTGCGTGTGAAGGGCACTCTGGTGGCATGCTGAGCGTTAAGTGTGGAAAGGTAAGCAACAGTTGACTTAAAAGGCTTGGTATGTCTGACTCAGAATTTTAACTAGGCTCAATAGGACAGGGTTTCTTAAAATGTATCAGGAAGAATAATTAGAATAACAGCCACCTTTCAATGGACCAGCTAGTGTACTGGGCACTTTATACACATCTCATTTGATTCATTTAATGAGTATGTAAGGTGACTACAAATACTATCCCCATTTTGCAGATAGGAAGCCACCACCACACAGAGGACCTGCCTGTGACACTGAGCTGACAATGTTGTGAGGCTGTTGGACCCTAGGTAGTCTAGGTTTCAGGAGCCCTGATGGCACTGTGGTTAAGCACTAGGCTGCTAACCAAGAACAGATTTGTTCATTGAACACTGATGACCCTAAACCACAGAGTGGTGGGATGCCATCAAGAACATTACATACTGAGAAAGCAAAGAGGTCTTGAAAAAGACAGGAAAGGGAGAGGAGATTCTAAAACTTGCTCTTAAGCCTAAAGTAGTCAAAGCAAAAGGAAGAAATGATGCATTAAAAGAAATGAACAGAAGATTTCAAAGGGCATCTAGAAAAGACAAAGTAATGCAAGATAATGAAATGTACAAAGACCTCGAGATAGAAAGCTCAAAATGGAGAGCACCCTCAACATTTCTCAAGCTGAAAGAAGTGAAGGAAAATTCAAGGCTCGAATTTCAATATTGAAGGGATTGTATGCGTGAAATATTGAATGATGCAGGAAGCATCACAAGAAGATGCATGGAATATACAGAATCACTATATCAAAGAAGAACTGGTCTACATCCAGCTATTTTAAGAGGTAGTGTTTGGTCAAGAACTGATCACATTAAAGGAAGAAATCCAAGCTGCACTGAAGACATTAATGAAAACCAAGGTTCCAGAAGTTGAAGGAACACCATTTGCAGTATCTCAACAAGCTTTGGAGGCACTGGAAGCACACACTTATCTATGCCAGCAGCTTTTAAGACATTTATCTGACCAACCCACTGGAAGAGGTCTGTATTTGTGCCCATCCCAAAGGAAGACAACCCCAAAGAATACAGAAATTATCAAGCACTATCATGAATATAACGTACAAGTTAAACTTAGAGTTGAAGATAATGCAGAAATAGTTGCAACAATACATCAGCAGGGAGCTGCCAGATTCAGAAGAGGATGACATTGCTGACATTAGATGGATCTTGGCTGAAAGCAGAAAATACCAGAAAGATGTTGACTTCTGTTTTATTTACGGTATGGATCCAAAATATTGAATTGTCCTCATGTGGAACTTGTACATACACCAAGAGGCAATTGTTTGAACACAGCAAGGGAACATCATGATAAAGGGAGAAAATATTGATTTTTGTCAAGGATTTCATTATACTTGGTTCCAGAATTAACGCCTAGGACAGCAGGAGTTACGATATCAGATGACGGATTGCATTAGATAAATCTGCTGCACAAGACCACTTGCAAGTATTGAAAAGCAAGAATATCATTTTGAGGACTAAGGTGTGCCTGACCCAAGCCATGGCATTTTCATTGACCTCACAGGCCTGTAAAAACTTCACAGTGACAAAGGCAGACCAGGGAAGAATGGATGCATTTTAGGGTTGATGAATTATAATGTTGGTGAAGACTATTGAAAGACGGCTGGAAGAACAAACACATCTTGGAAGAAGTATACGCAGAATTGTTCTTAGTAGTGAGGACAAAAAAAAGAAGTGAGGATGTTGAGGCTTTGTCTCACATACTTCGGATTGTTATCCGGAAAGACCAGTACTTGGGGAAAAAAACATCATGTTTGGTAGATTTGAGGGTCAGATGCAAAAGGAAGCCACACAATGACATGAAGTGGCACAGTGCCTGCACCAAATGGGCTCAGACAACAAATGTGAGGATGGTGCAGGATCAGGTAGGGTTTTGTTATTTTGCTATGAGTTGGAACCATCTCCAAAACCCTTAACAACAACAAGAGATAATAGTGCAATTTTATTGTCTACTGGAGCATACCTACCATATCGTTCTCTGTGTTTGCAGAGGATTAAACTAATCAACATTGATTAAGAATTGACTCACAAAGCCCATCTATTGACAAGTGGACATCCCCTCACAGAAGGGTCACAAGGAAGAGATGAGCCCATCAGGGTGCAGTATAGCACTGATGAAATACACAACCTTCCTCTAGTTCTTTAATGCTTCCTTCCCCCCACTATCATGACCTCAATTCTACCTTACAAATCAGATTAGACCAGAGCATGCACACTACTACAGATAAGAGCCTGCAACACAGGGAATCCAGGAGAGATTAAACCCCTCAGGGCCAACAATGAGAATAGAGCTAGATACCAGGAGGATTAGGGAAAGGTAGGGGGAGAGAGGGGGTATCGATCACAAGGGTCAACATATAACCCCCCTCCCAGGGGGACGAACAATG